ATAACTACTGAAAAATAAATATCACATAAAGAGTAGTTAAGACAAGAAAAATATTAATGCTATTTATGTGCTAGTTTTTTTTAATATTAAAATTAGTTTTGATTTTACCAATTATGACTGCTATTTTACAAAAAAAAAATCTTTATGAAATTATTAATATAAAAAAATTATAATCATATTCAAGTATTACATATAAAAAATCAATAAATTACATCAAATATATAAACCAACTAAACAATAAACCAGTATAAAGTTCGATCAAGTATACACATAATGACATTTGACATTCGATAATTATGTATATTGTAATATAATATATATATATATATATATATGGCTAATGTCTTATATGCGTGCACTCAAATTTCTTCTTTTTTTTTTTCTTGGGTATTAGATTTATAAAATAAAATTTTAGATTTTATTTAATATTATTATTGAAATTAATTTTTGCATTCAAAATTTATTTTTGACTCAAATGCAATGATAAATAATAAAAATTTTGATTTTTCAAATTAAAAACCTCTAAACAAAAAAATTTTCAAGAGATACTCTACGGTATTGTAAGATAAAATTAATTTTATTATCTTTATATTTTTAATACTTTATTATATATATTTAAATATTTAAATTACTTATATTATTTTATCATAATAATGTTAAAAACTTAAAATTTTTAATTATATTTTTTAAAAGTATTTTATCGATCCAACTTTTTTCAATTGTAAAAGCTACTTTAGTGAAATCTACCGTGACATCTCTATTAATTTTTGATTGGTTGATGTACTTCGTTAGAGCAATAATTGACCATCAGAATCATGTAAAGACGTGGGAAAATGATCTTTACATTATTTCAAAATGAGTGAAAAATTTTTATTATTTAATTTAAAAGTAATAAATATTTTTAATTAAATTTATGATTAATATTTATTTAAATTATTAAATTAAATTATTTTTATATTTTATATTTAATTTAAAATTATTAAATTTCAATTATAAATTTAGTTAAAAAACATTATTCATTAATAAAAATTTTTACTAATTTTTAAATAGATGGTGACGCAGCAGCCACATGGAAAGTGAACACCCAGTGTCCAATTTTTGTGGCGCTTGGTTTACGGGACGAGCATGGGGAAGCTGCAAAATCATTGGGGCCTACTTTTCCCTTTAGGGCCGATGACACGACGATTCACGAGACAACTTGTTTACATTATTCAAGATAAATTATTAATCAATGTATTAATTAAATGGATATTAAAAAATATAATTAATACTTTATTTTTTATTAAATTTAATAAAAATAATACGTTAAATTACATTTTAACTAATCTTAACCGATCTTCACCGCTGCCTACAGGCATCCAGACTCTTAATGGAACAAACTCTCCCAACTCCAAGAACCCAAAAAAAAAAAAAATCATTCTCTTGTTTTCAAATATTACTTTATGGTTTTTTTGTGTTTATTTTTATGAGTTTTTATGAATTTGAAATGTGTTTTATGTATTTTAAAGGTTTAAACAAGAGAATAAAAGAAAACAGAAGACAGGACAAAGAAGAAAATATTTTTTTTTTCGGTTAAAACAAACACAAGAAAATATTTTTTTCTAAAATCATCCAAACAAGAAAAAATTATTTATTTTCTAAAAAATATCTTCTAAAAAATCTTTTATTTTCTAGAAATTATTTTCCTACTTATCAAACGGAACCTAAAAGAAAGCCATCTCCTATTACATTTTTTTTTTTTTTGAAAAAATGAAACTTTAGTGGGCACAACGTAAAAGGCAATGAGTTGGTGTATTTGATAAACTCTTTCGATTTATAACCTTCATGCAATATATATATAGAGAGAGAGTTGTTTAATAAAATTTATATATTAATATAAGATAAATTATAAATTGATCTTACTAAAATAAAAATTTTAGATGAATTGACTCATTTAAATAAAAATTTAAGAATCAATATATAATAAAATAAATAATTTGGGGTTAATATATAACTACTGAAAAATAAAGATCACATTAAGAGTTGCTAAGACAAGAAAAATATTAATGATATTTATGTGCTAGTTTTTTTTTTTAATATTAAAATTAGTTTTGATTTTACCAATTATGACTGCAATTATACAAAAATAAATTTTTTTATAAATTTATTAATATAAAAAAATTATAATCATATTCAAATATTACATATAAAAAATGAAAAAATTACATCAAATATATAAACCAACTAAATAAACCAACATAAAGTTGGATCAAATATACACATAGTGACATTTGAGATCTTTTAATTGCTACTAAGCCAAAGTTTCAACGGCAATATACAAAAGAATCTTTCGACAATGAAAACGTTAAAATTTGATATCTAAACCAATATAATACAATACGATGAATAATTATTTGATTACATATATTGAAGAAATGTATTTGATATATTAGTGATGATTTTTGAAAACTCTTACAATTGTAAAAGACATCTTTATAATGGAGAAATTTTTTTGGATAATTACTTTTATATCGATAGTTGAATTTTTAAACTCTTCAAGCTAGATTAAATGATTGTTATATGTTTATTTAATAATTTAATAGTTTATAATTTTCTAAATATATCTTAATAAATAAACATTAATTCTTTAATCTTATTTATGAAATTAAAATTCCATTGTCATACTAGATAATAATTTTTTTTTTGCTATTTGTATTTAATTTTTGCAATGACATTGTTATTATTGAAAGATTTTGTATGAAAAATTTATATTCACATATTTTTATATTTTAAAAGATAATCTTGTAGTCTGCTTTATACGTTTTTTTTTTTTCATGGATTAAGAAATAAAAAGGCAATAAATGATTGAAAAAGAAAAAGAATATCATGTGTTTTAAAAAAAAGGAAATATAATTTTAAGAGATTTAATAAAAAAATAGATAAAAATATTACGAAAGAAGTGTAATTCCTTTTTTATTCCACTAAATAACATTTATGGCGACGTCACTAATTGTCGGTTTTATATTTTTTTATTATTTGATCAAAATTAAATTAATGTTTAATTTGAGTTAAAATAATATTTTTAATTTTAATTATTTTAATTCAAAAATTAAAAAAATAAAATTTATATTAATGAAAGTGAATCTTCTTTTTGAATATAAATATATATTAAATCTATAGATTTAATTAATACTACTTGATGGAAAAGCAGGTTGCTTTGTTTCACATGTTGGTGATTAAATAAACTTGGCTGTCTCACATGACAGATGCTTGCCTAAAAAATATTTATTTATTTTACATCGATGGAATAAGAAATTATAGGTATTAAATTTTAAAATTTAAATTTGTTAAATTTTATTTTATAAGAATAATCAAATAAATTAATTAAATTAAAATTAAAATTTTTATTTATTTATTTAATAATACTACTGCTGTATTAAGGAGAATAACTAATTTATTTTGTTTAGATGCATATTAGCCAAAAAAAAATAGCTAAAAAAAAACAATCATATTTAACGCTTCTTGAATGGTTGAAATTGCTGAGGTTGAGATGGACTTGTTCATGACAGCATATTCGATTTTGATAACCATGACAACAATTGTTATTAGTAGTATATTACTGTTACTACTAATGAAACTAAGTACTAAGCATCGCGGGTCTAACAAGTATAAGAATATTCTTAGCCATTGGTTTGTGGAAGGTGAATTTTTAGGGAGTATTTCACGTATAATTATTATAATATAATAAATTAATTATAATTTAAAATTATATAAAATTTATAAAAAATTTGTATTTATAAATGATAAATTTTTATATAATTTTTATTATAATTAAATAATTATATTATTATAATAAAAAATTATAAGTGATGTATTTCTAAATGATCACGTAACCACCCAAAATCCAACAATTATGGCTAATGTCTTGTATGCGTGCACCTAAAGTGCGGGCTTATTTCCTTTTTTTTTTTTTTTTATCTATTAGATTTATAAAATAAAATTTTAGATTTTATTTAATATTATTGTTGAAATTAATTTTTGCATTCAAATTTTATTTTTGACTCAAATGCAATGATAAATAATAAAAAATTTGACTTTTCAAATAAAAAAATTTTCAAAAGATACTCTACCGTTAAAAAGTATTTTAAGATAAAAATTATTTTATTATCTTTATAATTTTTAATACTTTATTATATATATTTAAATATAATTAATAATATTATTTATCATAATAATGTTAAAGGCTTAAAATTTTTAATTATATTTTTTAAAAATATTTTATCGATCCAATTTTTTTTGAATTCAAAAGGACAAAATCTTACGACAAAAGTAAAAAGAAAGAGATTAAGATTGAACTCTAATTTTATATATTTTAAAGATATTTTTAACCATTAAACGCGGACACTTATAGCGATCCAACTTTTTTCAATTGTAAAAGCTACTTTAGTGAAATCTACCCTGGCATCTCTATTAATTTTTGATTGGTTTATGTACTTCGTTAGAGCTATAATTGACCATCAGAATCATGTAAAGACGTGGGAAAATGATCTTTACATTATTTAAAAATGAGTGAAATTTTTTATTTTTTAATTTAAAATTAATAAATACTTTTAATTAAATTTATGATTGATATTTATTTAAATTATTAAATTAATATTTAATTTAAAATTATTAAATTTTAATTATAAATTTAATTAAATATTACTTATTCATTAATAAAAAATTTTACCAATTTTTAAATAGATGATGACGCAGCAACCACTAGAAAGTCAACACGCGGTGTCCAATTTTTGTGGCGCTTGGTTTGCGGGATGGGCATGGGGATGCTGCAAAATCATTGGGGCCTACTTTCCCCTTTAGGGCCAATGACACGACGATTCACGAGACAACTTGTTTACATTATTCAAGATAAATTATTAATCCATGTATTAATTAAATGGATATTAAAAAATAACTAATACTTTATTTTTTATTAAATTTAATAAAAATAATACGTTAAATAACATTTGAACTAATCTTAACCGATCTTCACCGCTGCCTACAAGCATCCAGACTCTTAATTGAAATAGTGAGTCAAAAACAGTGCTCAAGCTACGTGCAAATCCAGCCAAGTCGGAGATCTGGGACATCTCCACCTCGGAGGCTCCAATTTCTCCAATCTCTTTCTTTCTCTTTCTCTCTTTTTTTTTTTTTTTTTCCTTTTGTTGTTACCTGGGAGAGACGTCACCTGAAACTTGGTCGCTTATCTTCTCGATTCCACAACCGATAATCCAACAAATAAAATAAAACTCAACTTTTTTTTTTATATTCCCTGCCACAAAAAAACTTTTCCTTTTTTCCTCTTATTAGGAATTTCAGAAATTTACAAGCCCTCCAATTTGGTGGAGCCTCTTGAATCAGGTGCGCGGTTTTTTTATATGTATTTTTGCTCATTTCTTTTGCTGTTTATGAATAGTTCGTAGTCTTTTTTCTCATAATATTTTTTGAAAGCTGGAAATCGAACCATCAGGATCAACTGCGTTTAAGATTTCAATATATACTAATATCAAAGAAGAAAAAAGATTGTTAGAGCAGTTCCCTCCTTCCTTTCTCTTTTTGAAATTTCTATCATAGTCCGTTTTTTTTTTTTTTTTTTTGTTGATTTATTCGTGTTTTACGAGGGAGGTCAGTATTCACTTTTTTTTATTCATGCAAAATAATTATTCGTTAATTAAATATATTTTCTGTTTAATCACAGTGATATGCATTTATATTCTTATTCTTTCCAAAAAAAAGTTTATTTTCTTTTTAAATAATTCTTTTTAGTTTAAATCTGGAATTTATTCTGTTTCATATAATTGAAAGCTTTTCTTATTATTATTTTTTTATTTCAGGGAACTTGTATTGGCAGGAATTTTATAGCATTAAGCTCTTATTTGGTTGGAGCTACTTGTTGGGAGAATTATCTTTTTCATTGAAAATGAGAGCGGCTGTTCGATCAGTTCGCAACCTGAGATCAGCTTTTGGACATCAAAGGAATAGTAATTCAACTGCTTTTGTAAGAAGGCGAATTCATTTAATTGAAAGCAATTCTATTTCTGTTTATAGACTGCCTGACAATGCCGAAATCTATAGAATTTTGTTACGTACATTTTCTATGTCAAAAGCTTTCTCAACAGATGCTGCTGCTAAAGTTAATATCACAGGTTCTATTCCATTTCATTTGTTTTTTTTTTAATGAAGTAAATTAGATTAGGATATGGAACTAATGTGAAATTGTGACTTATGTGGTTTGTAATGAAGAAGTGAACAGAACAGGGCCTCTTGTGGAGTATGAACGAAGAACTGCAGCTGGTGAACTCGTCGATGGTGATGCCTGCCAGGTATGAATTTCTCTTTAGCCTCTCATTTGTTATTTATTTTGTTCCAGAGGATAAGAATTACCAAATAAATAAATAAATAAGAAGGGTCTTATGGTTGATGCGATTTTAAATCTTGTGCTAACTGACCAGTCATTAATCAAAATCAATACAATTTGAATCCAGCTTCACATTCATGAAACTGTATACACCTGCTAAATGTTTGAATGGGAATTTCATGTGATTTGGTTTATGACTATATGGAAATCATCTGTTTCTATTTATTAAATGGTGTTCTGCTGGTGTGGTGTTAAGCAGTTTTGAGGTATGGCATTGTGAAGTTATGCTGATTGCTGACTGTGATTATTGCAGGTAGGAACTTTAAAAGAACTTCAAAGGCTTTATGATGAGATTTTTGAGTCAGCTGATGCCTGTGGGTTGGATCGATATGCAGTTCCTGAGAAAATTGTTAGGTAAATGTTCTGTTTTATTGCTCCCATGTTTTGACCCTGCTTTTCTAATTTTGTTTATATGCGGATAGATTGCATTCTTGCTGTTCATCTTAATTAAATTTAGTTTCACCATGTTCTTGTTGATTTGTTTCATTTATCAACAGTTGGTCATTATTTTGTTTTTCTTCAGGAATCGGTGGTTTTGGTCTCGTTTAATGCCACAGTCTTCATACGCCCCTGTCAAGGGACTATATCTTTATGGAGGAGTAGGCACTGGGAAAACTATGTTGATGGACCTCTTCTTTGATCAATTGTAAGTCTCACTAGCTTATGATTCTGTCAATCAGAAAAATGGAGGCAAAATCTGACTTAAATTATGGGTATATTGTTCAAATAATATATGATATCTGTATGTATAAACTTGTGCTATTCACCCAAAAAAAGCCTGTGATATTCTTACTCATCATTGCTAGCCATGCCAACTGCTCCTAGTTGATTATTTCTCTCCTCATGTTGTATTCCCCTTTTTCAGGCCTTGCAATTGGAGGAAGAAAAGGATCCATTTTCATGACTTCATGTTGAATGTCCACAGTTGCTTGCAGGTGAGAATCTGTGTCATTGTCCATTTCTCCTAGTTGAAAAAGTTAATCACCCAGTTTGAAAACATCTCACATTGCAGACAAGGCCTAGTACAGGGTATCGTTATTTAGCTGTTTTTATTCAACAACTTTAGTTTTGGTCAGCATTCTTATCTTTATTAATAGAAATAAGAATCTGTATGATGTTTTCAACCAAGGAGTTATTGATATGGTCGGTGGCAATTCTCTGGATGGACATATTTGTCAGGTTAAAAGCTAGAAATGTTATGTTTTAGTTAAAACCGACATCCCAGTTGGCCCCTTTGTTTATGCGTATTTATTTATTTATTTATGCTTTCATGTGTGTATGTGTATGTACATATGTACTTGTTTAGATATTGGATTCTCTCCTTGTCAAGCTAACACTTGTACGTGGAACTTTTTTTTGACAAAATCTCATTCTGTCCTTTATGATAATTTGCATTGCACTTAGTGATAAACAGATGTTTATGTGAGTTTATAACAACGATTAACTCTTGCAGAGGCACAAGGGTGTGACAGATCCACTTGAAGTTGTAGCAGGAGAGATATCTGATGAGGCAATTTTACTCTGTCTAGATGAATTTATGGTACAGCATTTATTGTACCATTAATTTTCTGCACAAAAGGGGAACAAGAATTATTGAATTATCATTTATTATTCTGATTTAACATTCTACATCAATTGCTTTATATTTCTGCATCCAAATTTTGATTTCCATATTTGTGGTCTTTTGCAGGTGACTGATGTTGCAGATGCATTGATACTGAACCGTCTTTTTAGATATTTGTTCAGCAATGGCATCGTAAGTAAACATATCTTGTTGTAGTCATTTTTGGTTGGCACTCATTTTCAGTTGAAAATTTACAAGAAAATTGATTGCATGGGCTCTAATGGGAGGAAAGTGTAGATACTTGTTGCAACTTCAAATCGTGCTCCACACAATCTATATGAAGGTGGATTGCAGAGGGATCTTTTTCTACCCTTCATTGCGACTTTGAAGGTATGGGTGGAGACATATTCTTAATGTAGTGAATTGGGGCGTTGGGGGTGGTTTGCTGGGTGATGGGTGAAGTTTTGTCAGCCCTATAGAATTAGTTTGGAATTTATTAAAAACCGGGAGCTTATGTTTCTGTAGGAAAGATGTGTTGTTCATGAAATTGGTTCAGCAGTAGACTATCGGAAACTGACCTCGGTATGATATAAATCCTCCCTGTGCAGATTCACAGAAATTTCATTTCTGCAATTCTAGCTTCAAATTATCATTTTCTAATTTCCAATGTGCAGGAGGAGCAAGGTTTCTACTTCATTGGCAAAGATTTGTCCAGCCTCCTCAAAGAAAAATTTCAGCATTTGATCAGTGAATATATTGCTAGTCCACAAGTGGTTGAAGTAGTTATGGGTAGGACACTGCAGGTTTGTGCTACACTACTAATATGTATTCAATGTAGGGTCGCATTACTTGATTGATTGATTGATTAATTTAAGCATTTCCTTTTCTTTCTTGTGAGCAGGTTCCACTTGGTGCTAATGGATGTGCTTATTTCTCATTTGAGGAACTTTGTGAAAAGCCTCTTGGGGCTGCAGACTACTTAGGATTGTTCAGTAAGTGATATTTAAGCAACGTTGACGTCTACAGTGTTTTTCTTGTTTTGCATCTCAACTAATTACTACAAGGATATCTTGAATATGCGTTTGGCACTTTAGATTAGAAAAATAATTTATAGTTGTTTCTACATTATCTAACATTCAGAACCAATAACTGGACTTCAAAAAGTGTGATTTGTTACCTTAACTGTATTTCCTGCATAAACTCAAGAAATTAGTTATCATTTTACTTTAAAAGCAGGTCTCTGTTACGCATTTGACACACTACCATTTTGTCATATGAAGGTTACCTTGGTTGTACCAGCCTCAATATGGATTTTTTCATGTTAGTTCTTTTGGTGGAAAATGTATTATTTTGGTTAAAATATTCGTTTCTGGATAGATCCTTTGATGAAAATCTTCAGACATTATGTTTTGATTATATTTCTTATACTATCTTCTTCTTGCAGAGAACTTTCATACCCTAGCTTTGGAAGGTGTTCCAAAATTTGGACTCCACAACAGGACAGCAGCATATCGGTTTGTCACTTTAGTTGATGTATGCTCCATTTATTCTTGTAGCTTTGACTGTTTTCGGATCTCATAAGACTAAATTGATCTTTCCTTTCGTAGACATGAAAAAGTGCTAATCTCATTTATTTCTTTGTTTGCCTAGGATATGTATTGTTTTGGTCACATATCTCAATTTTTTTGGGATTAGCAGTTTCTTTTTATTTTTATTTTTTAAGTTGGTATCAAGCTGTTGCGTGAGGACAAGTATTCTATGTACAGGAATGGTTCTGTTTATCGTGAATGAATTGCTACCTAGCAATCTTGTTGGGAGTATAACATTTTAATGATGAATGAAGTATATGATAGATCCATTAGCCTTTAATCTTGATTCTTCAATTTTATAAAGCATATGTTTTAGAGATGTGAGAACCGTTTGCACCTATCATGATCTCATATTTGGATGCTGAGTTCTTTTGTTGTTGTGGTGAAACCTATTTCAGTTTCCCTTGAATTATCATTTTCTTTGTTGCAGGTAATGTATGAGAACAGGTCCAGACTGTTGTGTACTGCAGAGGGCAGCCCACAAGAACTTTTTGAAAATATTGTGACAGTTTCAGATGCCCGGCAAATGGCCCCTCGAACCTCCTCGAGGTCAAGAAGAAATGATGATTCTGACCTTTGTGTGGATAATGAATTGGGATTTGCAAAGGAACGCACCATTAGTAGGTATAAAAGCTACCCTTGACATAGAAACTTTTTTGATATCTTACTGAACTCTTTCTTTGTACCGATTTCATTAGTTTATTGATGCACATACCATCACATTGTCCTAGCAATTATCTTTATGTAAATATGTTTGTGCATTCATTTAGGTTAGTGGTGAAATGCTTATAATAGTTCTTCACGATGGCTTTTGGCATAATTCATTACCGGTATTATTTTTTATGACTTTCTTCTTTTGAGTTCTGTCAAATTTTATCTGGTGAGAATTAGTTCAGGTTTAGGAGCCTGTTTATGACTCGACTCGTAGTGGAATCTGAGGTGAAATTAAGATGGTTTATGGCTTTCAATGTTGATTTGCTCGTTAGGCTTGTCTGTCTCTTTACAGTAGTTGGTTTCTGTCAGTCAAATTAGTACCTTAGTTTTGCTCTTGTATGTGTACAAGTTGTATCTGTTTCCTAAAAGTAGAAACAGTCACAGCTTGGAATTCTTCTTGGGGTGTGGTTTTTACCTTTGCTCAAATACTGACTGACTCCGTAAAAACTAAATAACACAGACTAACAGAAATGAACAGCAAAGAATACCTTGAACAGCATGCGGAGGAGGAGAGGCAGCTTTCTCAAGAACTTGCCAACGCAGATGCCGTACAAGCTTAAAGCATAAAAATATGTAGAATGAATGATATACATGTATTTCAACAATGAACAGTTTTGGTCACCATTGATCAGACCACTTCTTTGGATATGATATTTGTCTGCATTATTTGCTGAACTTTAGAGCCGTCATGCAACTAAATGCGTACATATAAAAACTATGCCGCTTGAATACGGCGAGGTGGCCATATCCGGTTTGTTTGGGGCCTCTGCAAATGTAACAACAATATTCCGTACATAGTATATAATGAACATGCATGCACTGTACGTTTACATGTACATCTACGTTATAGGCGTTTAAAAACCATGCATGCCTACTGCAGTACTACCTTTTTCCAATTTCATAATGTTTTTGTTTTCACCTCATGCATTAATTCTCCACTCATTAATTATATGGTTTCGTTGTTTCTGCTAAATTAAATTTACGGGCAATTTCAACCCCAAGCTTAACCATTTTATTAGGACGTGGATTCCAATAACGTTAGGTTTAATCCCCAGCATTTATAAATATTTTCCAATTTTTTAATCTTATCCGTTTACGCACCAACAAAATTATGAGAAATTTGAAAATTAAATGGGGATCGTTCTGGATGAATCAATAACTTCTTTTATTACATATTACTCTCTCATTACCTAACTGTTTTTAAACCAAAAAAAAAAAAAATTATGGGCAAACTCTGCGATTACAGGATGGGAGCTTGCACTTTTTATTGCACCAAGCTCCAATGGAGCTGCTGTTGCTCAAAATAAATTGGTTAGTTCTTATATAGAGTATTTCTTTAAAATAACCTTGTCCAAATTTCATTTAGTGTTTGCCATTCTGCTCTCTTTTCATCTTGGTGACTATAAGAAATTAAGATTTTGGTTTTCCTCCGTTCAGTGTTCAATTAACTTAAAAAGTGTATGATATCCCGGGATACAGCTAGCTTTGGATTGTCATTGATATATCTTTAAATGCAAATTGGAGAATTGGAAGGTGTAACACTAGTAGTGAGAACAACAAATCAGGAAGGGGCATACAACTTCGGTCAACCTTTTGAGGCTCATTACAACCAGGATCCCTTTCATGGAAGCAGTAATGTCATACCCCCAACTGATGCGCAAATGACAGCCATGGCTCAACAGCAAACTCACATCATGCAGCAGCAACAGCAGCCTCCCATGGCCATGGATGGCTACAATACCGAACCCTTCTGGGAATCCCTTTGTTGAGCAGAGCATGCTATCTCATTCACCTGAAACCTCTTCTTGCTTAATTTTAGGGATCCTGAAAATAATGACGTTTCTGTTCAAGAGTACATTGGCTTTGAAACATTGTGGAGGTATGCCAGGATTGTTTGGAAGATTCATGCTTGTACACCCCCAACTTGACCAACAGAGAAAACAAAAGATTTTATTTCTAATGGTTATTCTTTTGTAACCCCCACAAGCTGCCTTCCACAGGCTTTAGTCTAGATAGTTGTAGAAGCTGAGTGCTTAACAGATTTTATCCTCCTATTGAGAGCATCGAGTGATGCCAAGAGCCCAAACAGTAAAATAAATAAATAATTGAGTTGATTGCACATTTAAATTTGAAAAATACATAAATTTTGGTATTTAAAAAATAAAATATATAATTTTACACCCTAAACTTAAAATTATATATCACATTAACTCAACTCCACCTAATCATATCAACTTATACATATAAAGTTTGATAAATATGACTATATCGATCAATATTTAATACTTTTATTAATAAATGACATAACTATAATAAAATTATATTAATTAAATGCCAGAAATATTCGAATTTGGATTAAAGTAATTTGATCTTTTAAGAGTTTTTTAACTCAATTTGTTTATATGCCCACCCCTGAGATGTAACATTCAACAAGATTAGAGTTTGAACCCTCACTTCTACAATTCTTTCTCTTATTCTCAGTATGCAATTTTCTATGTATCAAAAAATAATAACAATAAGAGATATATTTTCTCAAAATTTAAGTATAAATAATGTAATTAATTCATAAATAATTGGAGGGCAAAAGAACTAAAATTGGGTTTTCCTTTCAATTAATTGGAATATGTATATGAGGCGGCCTGTCCAATAAAGAAACTCAACTTGAAAAGCAAGCCAGATAAATGTAATATGTAATTTCTAACACAAGCAAGAAACGTTCAGACAGTTGGTTTACACATCAAAATAAGCGAGGAACATTTAGACCGACCTCTCAATGCAACTCTTGCATCAAGTAAGCAAAAATGTATTGTTTTCCCTAACTAGGAAGTGCTCCACTTTTACTTGCAAAACAATATCCTGCTCCAGAATAGAAAACAACTTCCCAAGCCTGTATCTTTTAATTGTTGCCTTGCCTTCATTTTTTTTTTCAATGCATTTACCAACAAAGAAAAAATTGCTAGTGACTAGTGGCCATACTAACGTTGGAATGATATAGAATATGAGCCAGTGTTTGGATCTTTGACAGCTTTGAAGTTGTCGACACTCATCCCAAATCGACCCAGAACAGAGTTGCCCAATTCTTTTAGCTTTCCTGCTCAGGGGACGTATATTTATTTATATATGGTTAGTGATGCATAAATGAAGCATGCAAAAGGATAAAAGAGTACTAAAATAGCTTCAACAATTTTACCAACGATCACTAGTTCAACATTCATAATTATACCATCAATATACAGCTTCATCAAATAAAATTTAAGCTCAATATCACCCCATTTCTATGATACAAACATTAAACATTGAAATAACAAAAATAAGTTGCAAGAAAATATCAAGTTCTCTTCGGCAGGAAACAATGCTCAGAAAAAATATCAGTGACCAGAATCAAATGCCAAACTGCTTCCATTTTCCATTTGATTTCAAAGCCTAGAATGAAATGCGAGATCCGAATGATATTCAATGGATGGTATGCAACAAATTCAGATTGCACACAGCTAAAGTGAATCATTTGACATGGGCACTTCAAGTCTAGTCTTCAATTAGAGATGGAAACCAATAACCAATAAATAAGATGCTTATTGCCATTTGCATTTAGTAACAAAAAATAAAATGATCTAAATTTGCTTAAGTAGTGCTTGGAAAAATGAAGTCAATATGGTATACTAAATTTGGTTTATTAGATACATCAAGCTAAAGAAGTAACCAATAAATATAGGCAATAAGATTCAAATACAAAGGTATTTGGTATGTGATGAATGGGAATGTGAGCTTGAAAACCTGATTCTCATCTAAAAATTTCAAATGCACCTTTGAATACCACATACTAAATACAAAGGAATTTGACTCTAATTATTTTTGCACACATTAGGTACATCCATTAGTATATTAACTCAATGTATGAAATCTGAAAACACCCCTTAAAACTCACACTTTTAACGCAACCTTGAATAATGTAATCATAAGAGATTTAGTAATATGCCTGAGTCTCCCCCCTTCCTTTTCTCTTCGTAATATTTATTCAGGATATAATAATGTAGAGCAGTAAAGCATCCATCACATAGTCAAGGCAATATGAAGATTATGATCCACTATGTAAATGTCAATAAAAATAATTTACCTCGTTCAAGGAATGCAATACATGAGGCTGATCTTTGAGTTGAAAACAAAAAATGAAGCAAATAAAATGTAGAATTCAGGCTTACCAATCATCTCCTCTTTCATCTTTTCTCGTTTTTCTGCAGCCAGTGGTTCCAAGCGTCGAATGGCCTTCCTAGCCTGCTCATTAGAAGGATCCAATTCCAATATCTTTGTCATATCTGCAAATTTTATTGTACTTTTTTTCAGAAAAAAAGTTACAAACATATATAATGTTGACACATAAATCAAATCATCAAGATAGATCAATGGATAAGTTTTCAGGAACCGCAAAACAAAAAATTTTTCTGACTTTAGAATAATAAAAGAAAGAAACAATCAAATCAAATCGAACTCACCAGCGATAGCCTCTTCAAAGTGTTGAAGCTTTTCATGAGCTTCTCCTCGTCTAACAAGAGCCTTTACATAGGAAGGATTAAGTTCCAATGCTTTCGTACATTCCTTGATGGTTTCCTCATACTTCCCCTGAAAATGTACACTTTTTAACAATATCTATTATAAAAAAAAAGTTCAAAGAAAAACGATTATTCAACTTTAAGTAGAAAAAAAAAAAATACCAGCTTCAAAAAGCAAACACCGCGATTCGAATGACAAATGGAACGAATTTCAACGGAAGTAGGCATCTCCGCCGTAACTTGCAAAGCAATCTCATATTGTAGCAATGCCTCCTCGTAGTGGCCGTTTCCAAACAATTTATTTCCTTCCATTTTTGCATCATTTGCTTGTGCCAAAGCTTTCTAGAAACAGATTTTTTTAAAAATAAACAAAAGATAGCTATTATATTTCATTTTAATGATCAGTTAAGAAAAAAATAAAATAAAATAAAAGGGAAAGAAGAGAACCTCTTCCAATTCGTCGTCGTTCAAGGCATCTTGATAAGAATCGGGACCTTTCTGTTCGGATGATTGTTGATCGTGGGCGTGGTCTTCTTCTTCGTTGTCACTGACGTCACGCTCGCTCGCTGTTTCAAATCCATCGGAAGCAGCATCTCCTCGACTCACATTTGATGATGCGGCGTCGACCGTATCCGAAGTCGTCTCGGATGATGACGGAATCGCTTTCGTGGCTTGTTGTTGTTGTTGTTCATCGTGTTGAGGTTCAATCAGCACCATTTTTGGGGTTAGGATCAAAAAGTAAAAAATAGCCTTACTCTTCAAGCAAACAAACTGATTTTTGCCAAGCCGAAGAAGAAATGAGATCAATAGCTTTAGACAAGCTAAAAGAAAAAATAATAATCAGCTTCCAGAAAGCTCTCAAAACGGCATCGTTTTTCTTGAATGTTAATAATAATTATATAAACAAATTATATTAGAATAGAACTGGGCTTTCCTTAGATTGGGCTTTCGAATCAGAAAAGAACTGCTAAAATGTTTTGGATTGGGCTTTTACATAGTGATCAAACTAATCGGAAGACTGCTGCTAAAGTACTAAACGAAACATCCTAATTCTTAAGTTACTAACAATTATTTTATTCAATCGATTAAAATTTATTTTTTTTAATAAAAAATTTTAAATTTAAATTTTATTGATGATCATTTATTAAGATTATTTCAAATGCATAATTACAATCATATATTTTAAATTATCAAATACGATATATCTTATTCTAAATATAATTTTAAATTTTTAATTTAACGATGGAATTCAATCTCCAATATAATTAAAAATATTTCTAAGAGTCCATTCGGACGCCCTACCATACTAAATCCCTTAAACGACATTAAAATCCAGCCTCCTTAATTGTTTTAAATACTAGAATGGACTTCATTTCGAAATTTTTTAATGTATAAAAATAATTTTAAATTAAATAATATTATAAATAATATTAATGAATAAAAAAATATTATAAAGAATAGTTTTTTTCAATAATAATAAAAAGATTATATTTATTAAAAAAAACAAATTGATTAATTTTGCAATAATTTTTATTATTTCTCATTTGTGATCATAAAAATTAAGAATTTTTTTTATAAATTATTATTTACAAAATACAATTTGTATTTTGGAATACATGAAATTTTTTATAATAATTTTTGCATTTGATTTTTTCTCGTTACCAAAATGATTATAAATATAAAACATAAAAATTTTAATTATTGAAATCAAACTAAATTTGGGGCGTGATAATGGAATCTATTGTTGTCAAATAGTTTTAAAAAAAATAACACGTAGATAACCTTTTTGGATCAAGCCAATTTTGAGGTAGCTTTGTAATAGTGAAACCAATTATTTTAAAATTGATTTATCAAAAGATTCATATTTGATCTTTTTATGTAAAAACAAAACTATTTTATAAAAACTATATGATTAAGTTATAAATGAAAGTAATCATTAACTTATAATATGATTTATATTAGGTTGTATTTATCAAATGAAGTTACTGAAAATAAATTTTAAAATTGTTTATATTAAATTATATAATTATATTTATCATATAAAAGTATTGAAGTAAAATTTAAAATTATTTATAATATTATATAATTTGATACTCTTTTTATTTTAAATTGAATATTCACATCTAACTTTGAGACGGAGACTGAGAAAATTTGAATTTAGTTATTTTTTATTGTTTCTTTACTTTTTTATAATATTGATAAACAATAGATTTAAATGCTAAAAAGTAAAAAAAATAATATGAAAATTTTAAAAATTTAGAATTGTATGAGTTAAAGGAAATAAAAACAATTTTGAGACAAACCAAATTAAAGAAATGTGGAGATTTAATTTGAGAAAAAATTAATATGTTTTTATTTTGTTGATTAATATATTTTATCTGTTAATTTTTTATTTGAAAGTTAGCTAACTATTATTAATCAATTATATCTTTTTTATTTTTTTTCTTTATCACTTCTAAGTATTCAAACTTTTTTCCCCAACAAATCAATTTTTAACATTTTATTTGAAAATTATAAAAAATTATAAATTTATGAAAAATATTTTAAAAAGAAGAAAAAAAATAAATTAATTTAAATAATAAAAAGGTTTTTTTACCAATAAAGAAAAAAAAAAAAACACATGTAACACTTGCATGAGCAAAGTGACCCATATAATTAAAGAAAATCTGATCATAACATG